AACTTGTTTTATTACATGTTGCTCTACACTGGTCAGCAGGAAATGGATTGTAATAAACTATGATTAGGTGGGTTCACATAATATGCTATGCTGTAAACCATGATTTGAATAATGTAATGGCTAGAGTCACATTGTGCTCTAAATCCAAGCCACACAAATCACATTATGGTTTAATGTGATGATGTACAAACTCAGCTCCTGGTTCTTGTATAAGTCACTTCATGATTTTGTAGAATTTCGTGGTGCTTATGCCAACATTTTCTTTTTTAAGTTCTTCCTTTTTGAAGTTGAAGCATTCAGGTGCTGCAGGGAGATTTGGTAGGGACAGGGAATAGGAGTCAGAATTGACAGAGTTTGGACTCCAAGTTCCATCAGATTCAGCTAATCCAGTGACCAGTGGCAAGAAGTGGTGGGGGACATAGCCAAAATATCAAGTATATCAGCTTATCTATTCCACATGTTTTTTTTAATCCTCTAAAAACAGTGTTATAATTTGCCCAGTATATAGGAATGACAAGGGAAGCACCCCACCCCCAAACACATCTCTTGACCCGTTATCATTTCAGTTTCAACCCATCAGACAACTGTTCCTGTACAACCCCAAGACTTACGATCAGCGAAAGAGGGCAACAATGGCAACCATCCACGAAAAAATGGCTGATTTTCATCCTGAGCACAAGGGTCTGGTACTGTGTTTTGCTCTCAGGGAAGAAAAAAAAAAGATTTCTGCATTGAAATCTCTGCCTGACAGCCAAGAGAGGATTTCTGTCGGACCAGACAGCATGTGCCAAGGGCTGGAACAGCAGGAACTTAGCAGATGGGCTTCGCAGACAACTGGCACCACACCACCGCTCCATGCCCTAGTAGGCACCAGCCCTTTCGTGGATGCTAAATTTTTAATTCTGAAATTTAAAAGAACAAGCAAATGTCCTGGGGGTTTCAAGCTGCTTCTTGATTGAGAGCGGGCAGACGCAGCGGCTGTCAAACCAAAGTAAACAGCGCCTCTTTGCTTGCCTAATTAAGAGCACCAATCTTTACCTCTTCAAACCAGTCAGCAGTCTCGATTACCCAAGGTCTTCAAGTGCTCTTCTGGTTTTTAAAGGGCTATTCATCATGGCCAGCCATTTTTTTTTCCTCCCAAGAAGCAAGCAAAATGGGAAAAGAGCAAAAACATGGATGGAGGCTCAGTCGCCATGAAACAGCCCACACTCTGGATGTGCCAGTGTGATTGCAGAAGGACAGGACTTGAGTGCAATCCTGTCATCTGGATTTTTTCTGGTCGGCCAGCTGGTTTTTGTTTTTGAAAAGCCTTTTGCTGTCCACGATCTTGTATCTTTCAGTGACAAGTAAAAATTCACAAAGTAAAACATTCCCCAGCATGTATTCTGCTGTTTTAGCCTTTTAATTCTGTTGTAATCTCCATGGAGAACTATGGTTCAATTAAGAGCATAACAGATATCTAAAGTCTAAAAGGATTCTGTTTTAAAATAAATTAGTGCAGGGGTGTCAAACTCACAATGTCACATGACGTGTCACGGCGTATCGCGATTTTTTTTGCAATTGCCGGCAATGGGATGGGCGCAGTTTCGCTATGATGCATCCAGCCCACGGGCCGGCAGCTTGACACCCTTGAATTAGTGGATGCTTGTTTATATTCATATAAACTATTCATATAAAATATTCGTATTTTAACCCACAAAGGCCACAGTTAAGTTTAGAGACCAGGAATGGAGGTGCTGCAAATCCAACAAAAGCCTCTTTTTCAAGAGGAAGCAAGTTCCTTTTCTGATTGCCGTGGAAATCAAGGTGGAGGCAAGCTGGGTTCATTCTAGGAAAGAGGACACCGTCATTTTCAACATTTAAATAAGGCCTGGCTTGTTACTGATTGCAGAATAGACACATTTTTCTTTTTTTATGTCATAGCTTTTATGCAACAATTCAAGAGATTCTGGGTTTTCGATAGGAGCTTCCATACAATTTGGCTGTAAATTAATTAAAAGGGTGAAGCTGGATTTATGAGATCAGGGCTGTAAAACACCACTAGGTGGCAGTAAGGTAATAATACAAGTAACTCTTAGCTTTTTGCTGCCATCTAGCAAGTATCTTGAGTTTTACAGTCCAATTCCAGCCATTTCATTGTCATTCTTCACCAAGCTCAAAAATTCCCAATGTAGAACCTTAGCATTTTTCATAGACTGAAACAGAATCCTCAAGTCAGGCAGTTATTGCTCTTCCATAAAAGCAGAGAATATCAGAACTCTTTAAAGGAACTATATAGTTGCAGGAAAGGTGATGGTTGCTTTAAGTCATATCTAATTTTGAAGGAGCTGCAGTAATATATTTGGTAATATATTCGTGCTCTTTTTTTTTTTTAATCAAATGCTGCATTTTGCACAAACCTAACAGACGTGGAACTAATGGAACATACTGGCAGCCTTTTTAGAAGGCAGGCAAGCAGAAATATAGCTCCCACTTGTTGCTCTGCTGAAGCACCAATGATTCACTCATCTCTGTGGTTACTTGTGCATTTTCTCATTTAGTTCAGCAGCATCTCTCTGTCCATAGAGATGTATTGACTTTTAGAAACTACTGCAATAGGGAGAGTGAGAAGAATCTAAATCAGGGATTAGTCAATTGTGTAGAACTGTGTAGAATGCATCAATAAGAAAATAAATATCTGCATTTTGGTGGGCTTACGGGAAAGAAGCCTAGATCATTTGAAAATTAAAACAAAATACTGTTGATTCTCTGTACTCCTTGGTTATATTCCCACAATTCTAAATGGTAAAATAGCTACAGTTTAGCCTAGTTATGTAAATCCAACCTGTATAGTTCAGAAGACTGTATAAATAAGCTGCCTAGAGTTGCCTTGGCAAGATAGGGCAACATAGATGTCTAATAATAAATAAATCCAAGAAATGTGGTCAGGTAGATAAACTGGTTAGCCATAGGTAAATATACTGTGTAAATGCAGCCACAATTTCAGGCTTGGTTACCACATTTTTACCCTGCCACAATCAAAAGAATCTCGGCACTTTGTATAGAACATAAAACAAGTTAAAACAGTGTTTCTCAACCTTGACAATTTTAAGGCATGTGGACTTCAACTCCCAGAATTCCACAGCCAGCATTGCTGGCTGTGGAATTCTGGGAGTTGAAGTCCACATGCCTTAAAATTGTCAAGGTTGAGAAACACTGAGTTAAAACATCCATGAACTAAACTGAAAAGAAGCCATCCATAATGTAGAACAGAAAAAAAATGATGTCATATATAAGCCTATGAGAATGCTCTCCAAAAAAGTTCAGTCTTTTTAAGAATTTCTGAAAAACAGGAAGGGTTTCGATCTAATCCACTGTTTTCCATATCTCAGCAACTTTAAAGATGTGTGGGCTTGAATCCATACATCTTAAAGTTCTTGAAATTAAGAAACACTGGTCTACAGTAATCACCACTAGAAAGTCTGCTCAAAAGCATTAGCCCTGGCCCAGAAAAGCAGCTTCAGCCCCACCCCACCCCAAACCTCTTAAGCCTAACAACTTTTTAAATATTTGAAAATGAAATTAGATTACATTTAATTCAATATAGTTTTATTGAATTTTAACTTTAGTTAATTAATGTTTTGATTAATTTTTATCGTGATTCTTCTTCTGCGGCATCAGAATTCCCCACAGCTGCTATGCATTTTGTAAAACAACATGGGATATATCCTGGTTGCATATCAGCCAGGCTCACGTTGGGTTAAAACACGGTTGGCTAGTCGGCGGCTCATTTACAAACATAGCCAGCAAGATTACTTTATTCAGCCAGTTGGGCAAATTTCAGCAACTCAATTAATTCACTAACTATAGTTCACTTAAGCAAGAATTAATCTGTGTGCAAATATAGCCATATCCATCACATCTAGTTTGGCCATTTATGTGGATTTAAGTTCAAGTGAATACCACAGAATTGACTATTTGCGGTCCATTTGCTGTAGTTGATAAACCTATGTTTATCCAATCCTTTTGTAGAGCTGACTTTTAAAAGCAGAATTCACACTTCATACCTGGATTTTCACGACCCCTTGCATATCTTTCATTTACACAGTGATTGCAGACCCAAGCATGTTGTGTAAATATTTCGCAGTTGCGACTTGAGCCTGCTCTATGCCCCTAGTTGGGGGCGGCAAGGCAAGAGATATTGTAAAAAGAGTAAAACTGCAGTATGGCAGTTGAAAATGTCAAGGTGTTCACAATCAGACCGATCTGTCTGAACTCCCTATATATATATATGCATCTTACACAGATGAATCCTTAAGTAGGTGATACAAGCACCCACCAAAAACAAGCTTCCTTAAAAAGGCAGAAGACAATTAAAAGATAGAATATTATTTTATTAGCATTACAACATTAAAGCAATTTATCAAATATAATAATGCTTTAGGTTAATGCAGGAATGAATCAGATTAAGTATTGCTTGTAAGAGGGACAAGGAAGTATTGATATTCTCAACTGAGATCTGCAAACTACATAAATCACTATTGTAAGTAGAAATCCATTCATCCAAGGACAAAATTTCATATTAAATTTTTTTATTTGAGAGGGGAAATCAAAGATTTATCACCTGTAGATGCTGTTAACATAGCCCAGGGGTAGTCAACCTTGGCCCTTTTTATGACTCGTGGACTTCAACTCCCAGAATTCCTGAGCCAGCATAGCATAGCATAGCCAGCATAGCATAGCATAGCATAGCATAGCATAGCCAGCATAGCATAGCATAGCCAGCATAGCATAGCATAGCCAGCATAGCATAGCATAGCATAGCATAGCATAGCCAGCATAGCATAGCATAGCATAGCATAGCATAGCATAGCATAGCATAGCATAGCATAGCCAGCATAGCATAGCATAGCATAGCATAGCATTAGCATAGCATAGCCAGCATAGCATAGCCAGCATAGCATAGCTGGCTCAGGAATTCTGGGAGTTGAAGTCCACGAGTCATAAAAGAGCCAAGGTTGACTACCCCTGACATAGCCGCTTTGCCATTTTAATGGTACGGATGTTGCAGGGTGTTCCATGCCTCATGTTGTCCTATTGGTTTATTGTACCATTTATGACAAAAACTGTTGGTACTGTGCTCGAGCAGGAAAGTGGTCAGCTGGTCTGTTATGAGCGGTCCACACGGGTTCTCCAACGAACAGTCTCATTGCCTTGACATAATTCTAAGAGGAAAAAACACAAGAATTCACACTCAGTAGAAGTATTCACTTTCATAAAAGATGTGGTTCAAACTACCAAAAAGGCTGAAAGAATTAAAGACAAAACCGTCTTTGGGTGGTTTTGCCACAAACACTATTAAAAGAGATTTATTTTATTTTATTTTTTTAAAAAGAAACATTAGCAAATATAATCCTTAAGAACAGAATCAAAGTGATTTTACTCAAGCCTTAGAAAATACCCAGACTTTTAAAAATATAGCTATAACCCATAGTCTGATTTTCTTTGCCTAGTTTGCAATATTGACATTGTGGAAGAAATAATAGTGATATAAATCACTTCAACTCAGCCAGGTAACAGAGTCAATATATTCAAAGTCCCATAAGGGAAAGAACTTCTTTGGACATTTGGCAGATTTAGAGTTCCATCATTTGATTGGCCTCATTCCTGAGTCTGGAAGAAACTGAATTTGAACAGCTGGTGCTTTTCACGCACATAATCTCAAGCAAAAGTTGGTGTGATGTTCTTCAAAGCATGGGAGCAGGAAAACTGTGGCCATTTAAGAGAAAATAATGCTTCATGTACGATATTCTCTATTCCTCAGGGTTAGAAAAGCACAGGACAAATCTGGGAGCTGTGACTCAACAGCTGGATCCTGGAGGATCATAGAGCTACTACCCTGATGTAGAAAAGTGTCCATGGAATAACTCACAAATTGATATTGAATATCCACTTATTGGGGTGTAAAACAAGACTACCAAATCTGGACTGAAAAAAATCCAGGTAACCTACAGATGTCAGGAAAGAATTGCAGGGAGCTCGTTGTACACTTTTTGCAGCCCAAACCTGATAATCTTAGGTTTAAGTTGCAAAGAATTCAAGAGGCCATCCACTGCTGCATAAATGCTGTTAAGTTTGAAATCTCAATTCACAAGGGTAAGCATGCCATTAATTGCATAAATGTTGAAAGTCTTTACGATTTCTTACAACTTTTATCTTTGTGACAATCCAGCCAAGACTGGAATTCATACTCTTTTCTTTCTACAAATAATGATGCAAACAGGCTACTCTAAAACCAATTTGCTAGTTCAGCTATCGAGAGAATACAGGAAATAACTGGGCACATGATGGCTTAGTTCACACACTATACTGAACTGAAATCAAGCAGATTTGAAATTGGATTACTAGGGACAAAGTCCTAGGCCAGTCTGAGCTTGTCTTTTAACAGCAGTTTCAACTCGAAGCAACAAGCAGGAGAGACCATTACCCCACTCAGTATCTCTAACCTACTTAGCTAGAAAAAAAATGGAGAGCCTCATTTCAGAAAGGAAACAAGCTTTCAGATGATAACCTTTTATCTGTCAGTGAAGAAAATAAATAATTCATTTTCTTTCTATTTTCTTTCTCATTCTTTCCTTTCTCAGCAGGAGTTGGGTAAGAAATAGCTCATTTCATCACATGCGCTAAAATGGAACGTAGTCTCTTGCTTCTGATCGACAGCTCATGCTATAACCATGTTAGCCTTTATATTACCACATAATTATTGGTTTATATTTTTAAATGTTAGCCCCATCGGTAGCAGCATTTTAGCAACAGCTGCTTAATATTTAAATTAAGACTTTAAAAATTTCAGTGGGTCAGGCAGGCCAGCATTCTGAGTTTTAAAAAAAATTCTTAATCCATTTCACTTGCTATTTCTAATGTCTCTTGATATTATACTGTTTAATAACTCAAACACGCAGTGTCTGAGTATTAAACAGTATAATATCAGAGATATTAGAAATAGCAAGTTAAGTTGGACTAAGATTTTTGTTAAGTCAGAATTGGTGAGTTGTGTGTCTGAGTTGTGTTATTTAGGAGGCATTGTGGAGGGAGGAGGCTTAAGGTTTTGAAATGAAATGGAATAGAATGCCTAGCAATATTAATAAAATAAAACACATTTATTGCAGCACAGTGGCTAGCACAAAACCTGGGATTCAGAAACACAGCCTATGCATATTTTCCCTATATAATAAAACCAACAAAGGGGTCCCACAAACTGATCTCCAATCCATGGCGACAGAGGATAGAGCCACAGCAAAATACTAGCTTCTTCAACCTTCTGTTCTGAATGCTTTGTATCCTACACAACAAGCCAAACAACAGAAAAAGCAGAGCAGATCTCCTGAGGCTCCAATGGATAGTTGCTATGGTAACACCAATCCCTTACTAAAGATGGATTTTATGACAAGGCTGGAGACACAAGTGCTCCATTTATCTATAAAGATAGCAGTTCAGAGCCGAGAAAGCATATGTGGCTCTAATACTATCCTTCCCTGAACCTTAGGAATTGATTTCTAAGCCGAGAGAGTTGCTTGGAAGTCAAGGAAGTTTCCGATACTGTGCTATGATTTCAAGCAAGGTAATTCACCAATACCAAATCAATGATTTCCCAACAAGTAAGTTGTTAAAATTGTTACAATGGGGTATGAATTTGTACGTGTTGCTTCTTCAAGATTCCTAACCCCACATTTCTACATTAGTGATTCATACCTGGGGTGTACCAGAGCTATGTTTATATGCTGGTCTGCATCTGCCTCAACTGTGGTTTTTATTTTATTTATTTATTTTATTTTTATTTTATTGTGGGTTTAAAAAAAAAAGCCTGTTTCATACAGATTCATCCAGTGTAAATCGGTGATAGATGCCAGCAGGAAGCGTGATCATGTCGCCTTTCTCCATAGCAATCCGGATCCACTTATCATCTTTATCACGAACATCAAAATATCCACTTCCTTCCAGGATGTAGCGAATCTCATCATCTAGGTGTAAGTGCTCTTCATAAAATTTTTTTATCTAGGACAGGGAAGGAACAGAATAGGAAGCATTTTTGTGGAGCAAGCCTATTACAAACACATAGCATATTGCATGCTACACAGATTGTAAGGTGCTACTTCCAAAGTGCTCAAGTTTCTGTTAATAGGCAGCTGTTCAATGTTTATATGGTAGATTTTGAAGTTCTCTCAGAATTATCCTTATAGCAATTATACAAAGTAGATCGGCACACTTACAGCAGATGAAGGACTTCTGCCCTCTGAACATCTAGTTGGGAAACATTTTAAATGCACATTCCTAGTAATCTTTACATTCCATCCGCCTCAATTTGAGACCAGCTGTTTGCAACATTAAATCTATGTGTGCTATGTATTGAAATACCAAGCTAGTTGTTGCAGATAACAAGAATTACATAAAAGCAAATGAGCATGTTGGTTGTATTCTTTCCCTCCTCAATGCCCAGCATAGAATTTAAGCGCTTTGTTCTTCCTTGACCAGATGGCAGCACGCTCGTCAAAACTGTGCAAGCTGGCAACTTGGGAGGGCTTATTTCAATGAGTGAAGCACCCTTCTAAATTGTTTCAACGGTCCTACTAAATATGTTGTCATCTATGGAGAGAACGAAGTCATATTTCTCGCTTTCTAGATCAGAGGTCCCCAACCTTTTGGGCATCAGACACCAGTTACATGGAGAGAGGTTTTTCCGCGGACCGGAGGGTGTGTGGTTTTGTGTGCTGCCTGCATCCTGCAGATGGGGCTTTGCTTGTTTGTGCGGACCAGTTGCTGGCACGCTGTGGCCCGGAACTGGTCCACGGACCAGGAGTTGGAGACCCCTGCTCTAGATGGCATCGCTTTCCAAATATGCCCTTCATAAAAAAATCTCACATTTCATGAGGCCCCCAAAACAGATCATATTGTCAGCTACCTGGATTCAATTTAATACTACCTAGATACATTAGGATTGGAGCATCCAAAATTTCCAGCTGATTTTTGATTATACAGGTTGTGGATTCTACATTGCAGTTTCTAAAGGACTTAGAAGACACCAGACTGTATAAGGGTTAGGATTCTTTTTCCTAACAAATGGAAATATAAAAATGATTGATATTTGAACGAAAATGTTCCTCTGCTACTGAAAGGTATTTATGGAGACTTCCTGATTTGTCCTTCCATTAGGATGGTGACTGGCTCAAGCAGTTGATTTGAAGTGTCACAAAAGCTTAGCTACTCAGGAGCTACTCCATATATTGTTTTTGGTTGTGTATTGGCATGTGAGAATGACCTTAAGGGACAAGGGGAAGAGATGCTTCCCAGGAAATGATCAGACAGGAGAGAAGAAGAGTCCTCAGTTGCTTAATGGTCAGAGAGAAAATTAAGGAAGACCCAATCTAATGGATTAGTTAAAAGTGTCGGCAGAAGATTTGCATTTTCAGACTCGCAAGATTCTGTTAATGTACCCTTACAATAAAGTAGATTTAGCTCATCTGGTTGTGTTTCCTGTCTGGTTTACCGGGGAGGGCTGACAAGATGCATGCACTAACACAGGAGTCCCCAAACCCCCGGTCCATGGACCAGTACCACAATTCTGATAATAAATAAAGCTAGTGCTCTGCCTGGCTAAAAAATGAAATGCCCAATTCTGTTTCTCCTTATTATCAGATTCAGTGAAGCTGAGGAGCTGCTAAGCCTAATCAATAATAAAACAGAGGGCGGGCAATAAACCAAAACTCAAGCCAGACAAAGCTGTGGTGCCATTATTAGGCACTTTGTTTGACCTAGAGAGTTGTTTGGGGCTTTAAATTCAATTAAAACAAAGACGTAAAACCTCAAATCATCCTCAGAAAAATCAAGTACTATTTTCACTTGTTTAAGATAAAAGTATGTTGATCTATTCAACTAAGTTTCCCTTAACAATATAGCTTCTGCTTTCTGTTAATTGACGCTTCAACAGTGTCTTCAAGGCCAGACCCATGTACAATGCATTATAGCACAGGGGTAGTCCTCAACGTATGACCATAATTGGGATCAGAATTTCCATTGCTAAGTAAAGCAGTTGTTAAGTGAGTTGCACCCGATTTTATGACCTTTTTGCTATAGTTGTTAATGAATCACTGTGGTTGTTAAGTGAATCATGTAGTCATTAAGTGAATCCAGCTTCTCCCATGGACTTTGTTTGTCAGAAACTGGCTGGGGAAATGGCCAGGATGCTGCAACCATCATAAATAGATGTGAGTTACCAAGCACCTAATTTCAGATCATGTGACCATGAGGATGCTACGATGATCAGTAAATAAGGAGGATTGATCATAAGTCATTTCTTTCAGTGCCATTGTAACTTCAAGTGGTCATTAAATAAATGGTTGTAAGTCAAAGACTACCTATAGTCTAATGATAATTCTTCAGGAGCACTCGACAGATCTTTAAGGAGTTCAGTGGCTAAATTACCGTACATTGATTTACACTGAATTAAGCCATAATACTGTATAATGTTTGTTTTGGTTTAGTGTTATGCATAATTTCCATTAATCACTTATTCAAAAAAGCCATATTTAACAATACCATCATTTAACACAGAACATGAATCTAGCCACTATGGCTTAGTCCACAAACCATGATTTTAACATGTTTTATATATATATATATATACACACACACACACATATATATATGATACATACATACATACATATACATATATACATATACATAGGGATTTTTGGTTTGATCTCTGGGCTTGGTAATTAGGTTGCAAACGTTCCATCTCCGTTCGGGGGGACATCTTCAGTGCGGTTTGAATTGTGTTCTGTTTGTTTGGAATGTTGCTTCCGGTATTTCAGTTGAAGTAGCTTTGATTCTGTTGGCTCTTTAGGTTTTGATAGGGACTGTCTGAGAGTTGAGGCTAGGTTGTGGGCTACTGTGAGGTCGTGTTGGCAGAGTAGTCTTGCTGTCATCTCTGAAATGTTTCATATGGAAGGAATTGTAATTCGTTTGGTCATTGCTATTCCTGCTGTAGTAGTTGTATTATTTTGGGCGTTTGTATTGTTTGTATTTTACAAAACAGGAACTACAGGCAATGAAGTCTCTCAACTGAGAGAAACATCGTCATCCTACCAGCCGAGAAAGGCTGAATGACAGTCATACTAGACAAAGCTGACTACATACAAAAAGCCAAACAACTCCTACAGGACACAAACACCTACAGATGCACTAACACAGACCCGATGACGAAACTGACCAACAAGATCAACAGAACCCTAAAAAAGCTACAGAAACTAAACCAAATCACCAAAGAGGAATATCAGAGAATGAAAGCAACTGATTCAAAAGTGAACAAAGAAAACACCCCACTCAGACCATTTCATCTCCGTTCAGGGGGACATCTTCAGTGCAGTTTGAATTGTGTTCTGTTTGTTTGGAATGTTACTTCCGGTATTTCAGTTGAAGTAGCTCTCTCGCTCTCAGTGGCTGGTAGGCAGAGTCAATGTCAATGTGTCTGTTCACTGATTGGTTGGTGGAGAACCAGGCCTCGAGGAATTCTCTTTCTCTCCTTGACTTTGCTTGGGTTATAACTGTAGTCCCGGTTAGATCGAACTTGTGTTGTTCTGAGTCCTCGTGGACAGACATGAGGGACAATGGGTCGTGTCTTTCGATAGCCAGGGAGTTCTCGTGCAGTCTGGTAGATAGCTTTCTTCCTGTTTGGCCCACATAGTTCTTTTCACAGTGTTGCACTGGACTTGGTATATGACGCCTGATCTTTGATTTGTTTCTGTTGGCTCTTTAGGTTTTGATAGGGTCCGTCTGAGAGTTGAGGTTGGTTTGTGGGCTACTGTGAGGTCGTGTTGGCAGAGTAGTCTTGCTGTCATCTCTGAAATGTTTTGTATGGAAGGAATTGTGATTCGTTTGGTCGTTACTGTTCCTGTTGTTGTAGTTATTGTGTTGTTTTGGGTGTTTGTGTTGTTTGGGTGTAGGGATCTCCGGTTAAAGCCTCATGGATATTTGTTTCTCTCAAAGACTCTGTATAAGTGTCTCTGTTTTGTTAATCAGTGTTGCAATAGGATTCTGCTCTTCTGAAAAGTGTTCTGACACAGCTTTGTTTATGGCATTTGGGGTTTTTGCTATGGAAGTTGAGGATTTGGTCTCTGTGTGTTGTTTTTCTGTATATGGATGTTAGAAGTTGGCCACTGGTGGTTCTGGTTACAAGGACGTCCAGGAATGGCAGTTCATTGTTGTTCTCGGTTTCTATCATAAATCGAATGTCTGTGAAGATGTTATTGGTTTTTTTGGTAGGTCTAGTCGATTTGGTTGTACTTGATTATCACAAAGGTGTCATCCACGTAGCGTACCCATAGTTTGGGGTTTATTGTGTGAGAGAACAATTTTTTCGGTTCTTTGCATGATGACTTCTGCGACCAGGCCAGATATGGGGGATCCCATAGGTGATCCTTTCAATTGTTCATAGACCTCACCGTCAAATTTGAAATAGGTGGTTAGGCATAGTTGGAGTTCGCATGTTTTTTCTAGTTGTGAGTGGTCTTCTTGGTGGATGTGTCTTGTCTAGAAGTTCTCTGATTAGGTCAACTGCTAGTTTCAGATCTATTCATATGAATAATGCAGTAACATCAAATAATATCATAGTTTCGTCCTCATCGATGTGAAGGAGTTTGAGTTTGTTCAGGAATTGCGTTGCATTGTTTATGGAGTATTGGGAATCGCTGATGAGGTGTTTTAGGCGTTTCCATATTTCTTTTGCGAGGTTATAAGTGGGTGTGCCAGAGAATGAGATGATCGGTCTGAGTGGGTTGTTTTATTTGTTCACTTGTGGGAGACAATAGAAGTGTGCTATGTTTGAATCAGTTGCTTTCATTCTCTGGTATTCCTCTTTGGTGATTTGGTTTAGTTTCTGTAGCTTTTTTAGGGTTCTGTTGATCATGTTGGTCAGTTTCGTCATCGGGTCTGTGTTGGTGCATCTGTAGGTGTTTGTGTCCTGTAGGAGTTGTTTGGCTTTTTGTATGTAGTCAGCCTTATCTGGTATGACTGTCATTCGGCCTTTCTCGGCTGGTAGGGTGACAATGTTGCTGTCAATTTTGAGAGATTTCATTTCCTGTAGTTCCTGTTTTGTAAAATACAAACAATACAAATGCCCAAAATAATACAACTACTACAGCAGGAATAGCAATGACCAAACAAATCACAATTCCTTCCATACGAAACATTTCAGAGATGACAGCAAGACTACTCTGCCAACACGACCTCACAGTAGCCCACAACCCAGCCTCAACTCTCAGATGGACCCTATCAAAACTTAAAGAGCCAACAGAATCAAATCAAAGATCAGGCGTCATATACCCTACCAACCACCGAGAGTGGGAGAGCTACTTCAACTGAAATACCGGAAGCAACATTCCAAACAAACAGAACGCAATTCAAACCGCACTGAAGATGTCCCCCCAAACGGAGATGGAACGTTTGCAACCTAATTACCAAGCCCAGAAATCAAACCAACAGCCCAGCTACCAACCCGAGCTACTAATATTCAAACACATCTCAACATATACATATATACATATATATACATATACATACACACACACACACACACACA